CTGCATGGCTTGGACGGCAACAGGGGGCATGACTTCCGAGACGGAGCAGAGTTCGGCGCGAGATGTGCCGCGAGAGTTTCTTCTATGGCCGGCATCGCCGCATAGCCGTGTTCCGCCATTTTAGAAACCGTGGCGAAATCAGCTCCAGCGGGATTAGTAATATGCGCCGAAAAAGGTTGTTTCCAAGACCTCGAAACCTCGTGGTGGAGGTCTTGGAAGAAAGAGAGAGACCTATGGGAATGAGACGGAGTGCGGCTAGACAAAAATCGGTCGTCCGGTTTCGACTGGGCCTGATTTTTGCCGGCTCGCTATCCCACTCTAACCCCAGCCTATCCACAGCGCGCGTTACAACATCTAACAGTTCGCTGTAAGACGGGGAGGTGCGTTTCTCCTGTCCATCCGAATCGGAGGCCGTTGTGGACAGCATGTCTTCGTCATACGGTATACAACTGAAAGACATCGCATCAGTCATCGCTGACAAAGACAACAGGATCCCCGTAGGGCTCTTTGAGCGCTTGCACATGGCCTGGAGATTGCGAGAGAAAAGGAGAAACTCCGTTGACTCACCCTCTAAGAGCCTTGACTCGCATGCATCACCCCAAGCGACCATCTCGTGCGGCACCTCGGCAACCGCAGAAACAAGATAGCGGGGTTAGACGCGAGGCCTACTTTATTCGAGAAGGCCTAGATCGCAATACTTTTAGCCGCAGGCTATCACAGTGTCGACAATCAGAAAGGCCGCTAAGCGCCGCTTGAGCGTGTTGTAGGCCCAAACATTGCATGCACCTGTCATGAGAGTCTCCTCCTGCGATAAACCTGTCACACGGCTCGATGCATCTCCTGTGGCTCATCGTGTCCGCTGAAGAGGAGTAAACTGCTCTTTTGAAGGAAAGTAGCTAAGAACGCGAAGGAAATGAAATCTGGTGAAATAGTGCGCAGCACGCTGATATAGCTCACCTACGTGCGTGTTGGGGGCGGTGCTAAGTGCTATTTGGCCAATGAATTGGCGTGATGGTATAAGGGCTTCAGACATTCGTCACGCCGAAGATGTTCCCAAAGCGATGACGTCATCGCAGCATCGAAGTGAGCCTATGAGAGGGAACCGAGGTTACGTGAGTAACCGAGAGCGTTTCCCCCCACGCCGACTCCGCCCACACAGCTATGACGCGACACCGATCAAGTCTATACGACATTCGGTAAGGGAAACGCAAAAATTATCATGATATTATCTGTCATAAATGTAATCAACGCTGTCAAAAACAGTAGCATTTAACACTGGTACACAAAGATCTGTAGAACAAGTAGGCTACAGAATGAAATGAAATACGCAAAGCCATGAAGAAGTCTATGCTATGCTATTCAGTATAGTTAAATTTTCACAAATCATGCTATAAACTTTCATAAGAGCACTAGACAAAGTCATTGTAATTATGTATTGTTGCAATAAACAACTTATAAAATTATCCACCCTTAAATATAGGATAGTAAAGTATTAACAAATTTTGATGCAATAAACAGGGTATGATTTGAAAATAATCATCCCTCCAGAACATAGAAAACATCTTTCACAAACATCTACATGTCTGTCTCCTTTAAAGTGTTTATAATGAGTTGTATTTGTAGGGGTTATTATAACACAATTTTTTAACACCAACCCCCATCATCCACCCACCCCCCACCGCCCCAGACCTCACTAATTTTCAAAGCCTGGGTATGGCCATGGGCGGAAGGGAGCTTCATCAGAGAAAATAACTTTGCACCAGTCTTCTGCTGTCCAATCCTTGTACTTCCTGCATAATTTCAGTCTGTCCTTGACGTTTTTCTTGGAGAGAAGTGGTTTCTTTGCTGCCCTTCTTGACACCAGGCTGTTGTCCAAAAGTCTTGGCCTCACTGTGCGTGCAGATGCTCTCACACCAACCTGCTGCCGTTCCTGAGCAAGCTCTGCACTGCTGGTGACACGATTCCGTAGCTGACTCCTCAGGAGGAGATGGTCCTGGCGCTTGCTGGACACTCTGGGACGTCCTGAAGACTTCTTCACTGCAGTCAAACTTCTCTCCTTGAAGTTCTTGATTATCAGGTAAATGGTTCTTTCAGGTGCAATATTCTTTGTAGCAATTTCCTTGCATGTGAGATCATTTTGATGCAAAGCGATGATGGCTGCACGTGTTTCTTTGGAGGTAACCATTGCTAACAAGAACACAATGATTGGAAGCACTTCTTCCCTCCTTTTATAGCAATCAGTCTGCTCTTACAATCTAATTAGTATGATAGTGATTTTACCTGACTAGTACTCATTCACACTTTCACATGTGCTGCTGATATGATTAATTAATTAATGTTAGCAGGTCATTTTGTGTCAGGATCAAAAAACAATGAAATTTGCTTTTTTTGTGAAAAGTAAATTTTTTGGCCAATGAAGCTTTTAGCAATTATTTAAAATGCATCTGATCACTCTACACAATAATCTAGAAACAATGTGAATGAAGAGCACAACAGCTTAAACAGCAAACTTACATAGCATCATAAAGGAAGGTGTATACTATTTTATTATATTTGCATTCTGTTGATCAGTTACTAGCTAAATGCAAATAATATAAACAGTTATTAAACTTTCACTATTTCTTCACACTTGTGAAAAAGTGGTGTTATTCAATTCTTAAAAGTATGTTTTTGAAAAACTACTTGCAGATAATTTAGTCCTAAAATTAAAGGCCACTTAAGTTTGTGTGCTTTGTAATATTGTCAAATTGAAAGTTATGAATTTAAAGTACATTTGGTAACACTTTACAATAAGGTTCCATTTGTTAACATTAGATAACTACATTAGTTAACATAAACTAACATGGCTCATTGCTAGTTAATATTATTTAATGCATTAAATAGAGTTATCAAACGGAACCTTATTGTAATGTGTTACCACAAATATCATATTTTATAATGATTGTTTAATAATATTTTGTCATGCTTTAAAGTTGTTCACATATTTTTGATTTGGTGACTAACATACTAAAGCACATGTAAAGTACTTGATTATGATTTTAACTGTAGTGTTTTTTATATTATATTTAAAATTAAATAAATGCAAATGTATAAAATTGGAATAGAATAGAAATTACATTATATATTACTCTACCGGTAGTTAGTATACTTCGGCACTACACTTTAACTATATTTCAAAGACAATATATGTTAATTATGAAATTGCATAAAGATGTGATTTTTTTAAGTATACTCTTTCTAAAAGTATGCTAAAATGTACTACTTTTACATAAGGGTATAAAATCATCATATTGCATGCTACTGACCTACATTTGGATTAACAGAAGTTGTGAGTGGTATGTATGGAATTACATACCAATTTATATAATTTCCACTGTCAAACTGTTATTGTTCCTGTTAAAGATGTTAGAGTCATATATGTTCTTATTTCAGTGGAAATTAAAAACCCTCCATGACAAAATGGTACAATAGGTAGAAAGCGTGGCATTTAGCTGGTAATACGTGACATTGTTCATCATATCAGATATGTAAATGCCCTTTTAAACAATAAAAGTGAAGTGAAAATGTGAAAAAAAAAGGTTGGGGAACAACGTGAAAGGTCAGAGTCTAAGCAGGGTTACACAAGCAGGTAGATACATTTCAAACCACACATTAAAGAGGAAATGTGGTTACACCATTTCCAAAATTCATGTAGGAAACAACTGATCTTGCCTTGGTATCACAGCTAATTAAAATGTATAGGTCATGCATTTCTCTTTCCTGTTCAGACCTCTGCTTCTCTCCTGTGAATGAAGCAGACGTCTGGCTGGTGTATATTTGAAAGAACAGACGTGCGTCTCAAGCATAAGATAAAACCACTCTTTTTGTTTCCATGCAGTCATCACGCATTCTGTGGTTAGTGAGTGTGAGAGACGTATTCCCTGACTTCATATGACTTCTGCATGATGTCCATATCTTACAGAGGAACTATTTAAAACAAAGTGCGGGAAAAAAGCGTTTCTTCAAGGGTTTTATGAGTCTATTGTTGTGGTTTTGGATTACAATTAAACATATTTGATCACTTAGGACATTAAGGGACTTAACATCTAATGCTGAATGTAATTAAAAATTGATATTCATTTAGACATCATTATTCAAGTAAAATAATGTAACAATATACTGTACAGGACCACCCAAGGGCAGGGTTGCCCTTTCTTCACTCAAAAAACGATAGTTCAGTTTAATTAATTAAATTGAGTAACATGATTTTTGAACATTTTGTGCCAACTTGTACTTAATAGTTAAAATTAAAGTTTAATTAATTAATTTGTGTTAAACCTACACAAATCATTTTTGTAGACAACTAAGTGGGCAGTAGATCTGTGGTTCTCATCATGCTTTGCAAGGGGCTGCATTAGGAGAGTACATTTAGGGATAAAGTCTTATTCAGCAAAGGGAAAGAAATGTTAGTGTTTAATGTTCAGTTATGTTGGACATTTAGAGGAGGTTCTGCAGTGTTTTTGAATTTTGTGGTTACCATGCAGAAAAGTGTCGCCAGTGCTGTGGGCACTCAATGAATGATAGCTATTCTAGTGTCAGTGATACTAGTCTTCTCTCGTTTGTTCATGATATGTATTGTGCATAATGATGTACACAACTGCTGGTTTAAAAATAAGAAAATTCATTAAACTTCAGTAAATTCATATAAAAAAAAATGTAATTAATATAAAAAAATCCCACTTAAGTCGTTTCATAAAATATATAATAATAAGTTGAACCTACTACATTAAATTAATTTGGCATAAACCAATTAAATTGTGTGGACCCAACTAAACAAACATATTTATTTGTTTGTTTGTTTATAATAAACTAAGTTAAATTGTGTGTAAAATCGTTCTTGAAGTAAGAGTAATGAATACTTTTTTGAGAGTTTGAACCTGTGACGCACGCAAAAAACAGGAAACTCGTACAGTATAAAAGGTCTTAGAGTGAAACCACCAGAATGTCCTCAACCTGTTAACATGTATGCCCTGACTGGACGTCAAAGCCTGGCACTTTTTTTTGCGATTATCCTTCTCTGTTGGGCAGACTGTAAGTTTAATAGCTTGTTTCTCGCACTGAAATTCTATGATGGCACCATGTTAATATTTTTTATATTATCTGTTAAATTTACAGTTATTTAGCTTCAATTCCAGCTTTTTACTTGACCATTGGCAGCCTGCATATAAGCAATGAGCGTGCAGTATTTCCATGTAAAGTTTCATTTGTGCTATCTTGAAGGCAGCCCCTCTCTGCAGGATGATTTGGCTCCCCTTGAAGTAAAGTTCCATTCTTTGGACTTCAGAAATGTCTTACACTGGAAACATCCACAAAAAGCCCTCAAGAACCTGACATATTTTGTTCAGTATAAAATGTAAGCGTGCACAACTTTCTTGTCGAAGAACGTAAATTATGTTCATAAATTAACTTACCAATATCGGCAAAACACCCGAACTGAATCCGCAACGTTTCACATTGGTGACTTCTCTTGATTTCAGATATGGAGACAAAGAGTGGACTAATTCTGAGCACTGTCAAGGCATCCGGTTGCTGGAGTGTGACTTGAGCCAGGCGACGTCAGATCCCAGAGAATGGTACTATGCCAGGGTCCGTTCCTTCTCCTCTGAGGGCTTCTCATCATGGGTCCTTAGCCACAGGTTTTACCCTCAGTGGGAAAGTGAGTATACTGCATCATTTTAATTATAACTGTCCTTCAGAAAAGCTTATAATTCAACACATTTGTCTACATTTGAAATGATCTTCCATCCACATATGGTTGATTTTTCAATAGATATGCCAATCAAAGAGGAAGAAAGATTACACAGTGTGACTGTGACGGCATAACAGCACAATTTGATTTATTTTTTTCTTCCTGTGGAACTTCTTACCAAATAACTTCCTCCAAATTACAGCCAGTTTCAGCCCACCGCAGATAAAGGTGACCATGACAGGACGGATCATTTCAGTTCAGATCAGACCTCCGAGGACACCTCTGCGAGGACAGAAAGGCTCTAGGATACGAGTGACAAAACTGCAGAAACTAACATTTAGAATATACCTAATGCACAATGATGTAGAAGAGGTAAGAAAACCCTTACTTATAAATGTACAAATTCAATGTGTATATAGTAAACATATGTGAAATTTTAGATTTAAACAATATCATGTGCATAAGAGCAATTTGCACTTCATTTGGCAGTTGTTTTTCCGAAATGTTTTAAAATAACTGTCTGGCAGCCCATGCCCTAAAATTACGATAATTATGAGAAATGACTCCAAACTTTTCAAATTCAGTATGCTAAACCTTCACCAATCCCATCTTTCCCAAATAGGAAGTTTATGAAACAGACAGTTGCTCCAAGGAGCTTGTGATTGAGGGGCTACGTCCAAAAACCACCTACTGCCTTCAGGCTATGTCCGTTACTCCTCGCTCAGGCCGAAAAAGCTTACGGAGTTCCAGCACCTGCATCAGCACTCATTGAGGACTTAGTGTCTCCCACAGGTAAGCCTTACGTAACACGTGATACGGTTTCTTTAGTAAGGGAAACACCGGAGATAAATGATGGTGTCCGTGACAAGTTCCCTCCCGGGCATTGATGGTTGGTAGACAAAAAGACTGCAAAGTGAGCACAGACATGCTACTTGTTATTCGAGACAAAGATTGCACTCTTGAGACACCCTCAGATCAAGTTCCAACCACCTTAGGAAAAAATAGACTGATTGTCTACTTTGCCAAGAGTTTCAGTTCTGAGAATTTGGAGTGTTCTCTTCTTCCACATACAAGATGCACGTGTATTTTTAGAGTATTCATATTATTTCTGGTTTCGATTATAACATTTCTGTTTTATCTGCCTGCAGGGTGAGGCTGCTTCTGGACCTTTGTTCAACATGAAAATTACACACATACACACTACAGGTGGAATGTCTGCAGTTTTTCACCAAGGTCATGTTTACTATAAAGCTGACAATAGGCCTGGCTTTGCTTTAGGTTACATTAAAGCTGAAGTGTGTAATTTCTGCACCACTAGCACCATCAGCAAAAATAATGACTGTTTACATACAGGTTTCCTGAACACTCTTATCTTTCATTGGGTGGACAAAGAGATACCACTGGTTTGAGCCAACAGCAGCGGAAAGTGTTTTTTTTTCTCTCAGGAAAATCAACTACTGGCTTACTTGAAGATATTTAGTATTAAGTTAGGTTTTTTAAATTAAAATACATGCACACTTCAGCTTTAAGGCTAACGAATGATGAAAATAAAAACATACAACTAATAGTCACGTTTAAGGCTGAGAACTGAACACCAAACAGAAGTAGTTAAATATCAGGATACACAGTGTTGAAACGCAACAAATAAATGGTTGCAGCATATGACTGAAAGTAAAACGAAATAAATTATAAAAGCAATGCTTAAATGTTGTATAAAGTATTTATTGGTCACTTGTGTACATTAAAATAGTAGGATTTGATATAAATGAGATGATTCTGGGCTCAGCCCTTTTTTCTTTGAGCCCTCCTGGAGAAAATAACCAGTCCACATCTGAACAGAACAGCTTTTAACATACATTTAAGCTGGTCACATGGGTAAAACATTGGATCAAAACAGAGCTCAATAGAGCATACACTGTGCAGACACTAAAAAGCAAACCAGTAAAACTATTAGCAGTGCATGTGTACCATGTAACAATCTTTCAAAATCATTTCACAATCCAAGACTTTGGTGAAAACATAAACCATCTGTTGCTTTCTCTAAAGGTTTTCTGTCATTCACGCATCTGTGTCCTTCACGTTTGGGAATCAGTCCAAATAAAACTGCTTGAAAAAAAAGGTCTGATCTCTGCAGTTCTCCCATAATAAGAGAAATGATTGTGCTTAGACAATAACACCAGATGAATTCATCAAAAACAGGCATCATATTATTATTACTTCCATCTAGTAATGATCATTCCAAGACATAAAAAGGAGGCACCACAATGTCTCTCCAAGTCCTTTCTTCTTATGAATCCTAATGTGCAGCTGCATATCTAAACTAACAGTATACTCTGTTAGTGTCTTAAAACAATAACAGCATAAATGTAATGAACAATCATCATTACATGACTCAAAAATTCCAGTGCTACAAAACATATTTTGTTCTTCCTTCAAAACATCACCACATAACGGCTGTTTTCTGAACAGGAGGCAGTGGGAAAACCTGTGATTATTTCTGAGCAGACAATACATTTATCCTGAATGATATAATTACAGTAAATAATTCTAGCCCCTACAAGCTTATAACAAGCTTTTAATACTGAGTTTTCTCAAACATCTTTTCCAGCAAACTAAGAGTACAGTACTCTTCCATTTGACACCCTAGAAGCACAAAATCTTTCAATTTGTTCAATTAAGCATGTTCTGAATCTCAATCTCCACATCTTGAAGATACAAAACAATATTTTAAGTGACACACAGAAAGAAGATGGAAACGCAAGAAGTGTGAAGTCCACAGTAGACAATGAACAAGCGAATAATTCAGTCTTTTACACAGGGTAATGATTAAGAAAACAGTTTGAATATATAGAATGACAGCTAAAAAAAAGTTTAAATCACTTACACACAGTTCAAGCTGAAGTATATTTTAAGGAAAGATACACCAAATCTTGATTTCACATCATATAATCGATTATTTTAAACTTTGTGAACTTACAGCAGCGTAAAACTCAAAAACAAGCTACTCAGACGGTAACAGTTTTTAAGTAGCATCCTGGTGCTTAAATCTATTAGTTAAATTCATTTTTCAGAGTTTGTATAGACTGGAATGATTTGTGAAATAATAGCAATATTGATAGACACTAACAATATAGCGAATTCATTTATCACTATTTGGCAGCATAATGAACCACAATTGGTGGCTGACTAAATACTTTTTTGCCCCACTGTATATATATATATATATATAAATATATAGCTTCTCATTTGGGTTACAACCTAAAACGCTATAGGCATGTGTACACTTCTAAAAGACATAATTAGATAAAATGCATCTGACTTAAAGCTATAAAAGGAGAGAGTCCATGAGGTGTCTATCCAATATAACTTTAGTAAAAAAAAATTATGTTCCAAAAAATGATCAGAAAGAAATTATGCTGACCACCAGGAATCAATTTCAAACAGGTCATAAAAGACAAAACCCTGAAAATGTAATGTATTAGTACAGGAAAAATAATGAGCTATGTAGGGAACTTGAAAACGCTGTTTGAGTTAGCAAACATAAAGGTCTGTTAGCTACATAAGCTATGCCACTTCATCTGTACAACTATTATTATTTATATAAACACTGTGGGCCCTGTTTATGCCTTTCATATGACATTACGTGATATGAAATCAAATGACAAGAATGCCTGAACACTTTAAAAATCAGTAGTTTCTAACAGAATCTGAGATCTTGCTCATCAGTGTAAAAGGTTTACAACTCAAGTCACTTCGTAAAAACTACAAACCAGCAATTCTAACTGTAAATTCAGTGGAACGCTGATCATTCACTTCATATGTCACTTCATATTAAATTACATATCAAAGTAAACGGCATATAAATAAAAGTACCACAGAATATCTCCAGCAGCAATGGCTCAAATATTGATCAAAGGCCATGATGTTAATCTTGGGGGGGAAAAACACCAACTAAATGTCATGTTGAACAGACAGATTCAAGACAAAAGTAAGACTGTTCCAGATGCAACTTATTTCAGGATAAAACCTTCTTCTCCAGTTCGAAGACAGACGGTCGACTTGGTGTGCTCTGTATTCGACAGAGGGGAACTGTGCAGTCTCGTTTTTGGCCCTCTGTGTCCATATCCAGCAAAGAGCAGCCCATTTTGACCTCTGAGGGGAGGACCATGTCCAAGTTTTGGGCACTCTTCTCCCCAGAGTAGTGCCCAAGAGAATAGCTCTTATTGCGGCTCTTTAGAAGAGCCCAGGAGTGAGGTTTGCTTCTTAGCGAAAGCGGTCTGGGTCTAGATACTGATTCCCCGGAGGCTTGCTTCTCTTGAGCAGGCTCTATGTCAGCCTTCTTTTTCAGGGAAGTGGTAGAGGAATCAGGTGGACTGGCCTGGAAGTTACTGTTGCCATAAACTAAAGCAAAGAAAGTAACATCATTAATAAACAATATTTGAAAACAAAACTTCACTGTTATGGGTTAATGCAGAAATGAGCAGAGCAAAAAAAAAATCCCTTAAATCAACAGCGTAAATTAAATGCACTAAAGATGCACAACATATTGCTACCATAATGCTTATCAGCTGTTATTAGAATTTTTTTTAATTATCTTTATCATGCGGTATTCAGAGTTTAATTTCACATACTCATTTCCAATTAATTTTACATTTAGAAAATGTAGATAATATATTTTTTAGATAAAATATATAATTTAATAACAATATAATCAAATCAAATGAAAATCTGCATTGGACAATATTCAGTGTTTAATTTTACATACTCATTTTCATCTTTTTTTTTTTTAATTTAGATTACCTTTGCTGTCATCTAATAAAACTAGATGATCATCAATGATCAAAACTAGAGATGCACCGATTGCAATTTTTGCTGCTTCCGATTTTCATTCTAAGAACTATTAACAGCATATACAAACAAAAATCTACTTTTTTTCAATGCAAAAATTATTTACATAATAAAATAAATTATTAAACATTTCAATTCCCCCAATCTAAGTTACAGATGTTCTCTCACTTAAACAACTCTCAAAATAAAGTGCTCTGTGACTGGAAAGAGGCAGAAATAACAACGAACTGAAAATGAGTTGCAGTATATAACAAAACAGATATCATTTCCCACTACGTTTAGAAATGGTCATTTGTTTTCCTAATCTTATAAAATGTGTCATCGTTCACATCAAATTCTTACATTGTTTCAATTAATTCAATTTGAATAATAGAAAACTGTAGTCTCGCTACCATTCAAATTAAATCAGTATCAACACAATCCATCTTTCCACTGCAGGAAACAAAGTGGCATTAGATGCATTTACACAGACTGTTTGATGAAGCTGAGGTGCCATAAATGCATTTACACTGCAAAATTGCAAATGCATAAATAATTTTATAAAAGATTGTTTTAAATAACTTTTGTTGGGAAAAATGCAATGATACTTTTCAATATGAAACTAAAGCACCAGTAGGTGGCGGCAAATGAATGAGTGAGTCATTTAGTCATTCATTCAACTGATTCATTCAAATGGCCGATTCATTCGGAAACCAGGCAAGTGACTGTCTTTATGAATGGGTCATTGAATCATTGACCCACTGATTCGTTCAAAAAATGTGGATTCATTCAGTACACCACCACTGTGTGCTGCGGCTTTAATTGGGACTATTTTCATTTGTGAAATTGAGCAAAAACAGTCAATAATTGTATCTAAAATGTAAGTGCCTTTATTTTAACTTCTTGTTTATTGAACTTCTATTGTATAAAAGTAGCAATCATGTTGATATTCTGGGAAACATCTTGTTCGTGTAATGTTGTTAACCTATATTACATATTATAAATATAATTTTTCTACCGCAGTGGGCGTCTGTAACTTTGTGAATTACTTTGCGTGTGCTGTTGCGCTCATTTGTTTTCTGAAACAAATTTCTGAATGAGTCTCTCTCATTCAGGCTGCACGAGCCTCATCTGTCACAACATAAATACATTATCAGTCGTCGTTTACACTGAATGGAATAAAATCACAATCATTCTTGCGCAAAAATTTTTGGTGGCCAAGTTTCAGTGCTTCCCTGGTAATTTTTGTTATTGACGTTTTAATCAGGCTTATGGTCCAGTCGAGCAAGTGAAGTTCTCTCTCACTGGGATTGTAAAAAATCTACTTGTCCCAGACAAGCGTTAATCGAGCCCTGTGGTTCTCCCACCGTTTACTTTGGCCCTACACATATTACAAATTGAGAAATTTGTGTCTTCTTCACTCACAGTGAAGAACTTCCACACCGACGACATGTTTACATGCGGATGTGAGCGTGGGTGTGATGTCAGAACGGACCGGCTCAGAATTGGCAGACTGACCGGCCGGTCACCGGTCCAGGCCGATCACGCAGAAAATCGGCTAATTCCGGTCCCTGGCCGGTCGATCGGTTCATCTCTATTAAAAACCATTCAAAGTCATCTAAAATACAAATTTTTCATAGTGTAAATTATGATGTTGTGATGTCTATATTCACTTGTTTCATTTAAAATGATCAGTTATATATTTTATACATTATTTTGACAAAATAGTATAGAATTTTAAAAGATTACTCACTGGTCTGACACACAGCAGGGCTGGACTTCTTTCTCCTAAGCTGAGAGTTGGACCCAGAAGTATGATCTTGTACAGGGGCAGAGGGAAGAACATCACTAGTGCCTGTATGCTGATGTGTCTGGGAATTGCTAGCTGGAGTCTCGTTCAGTGGGTTATACCCAGACCCCTCAAAATCTGACTGCAGGAGGCACTTGGTGGAGTTGCACTCAGAAATCGATGACATGGCGAGTAGGCTTACGGGTCCTGCGGTAACCTCATCCTTGCGTGAGCGGCCACCAGGGGGGCTGGTGCTGCGGCGGAAGCGAGTGGCACGCTGAAACAGGCCCTCTCGTTTTTTCTTCTCCTCACGTGGCTCTGGTTCCTCATTAGCAGCACCCTTACACACCTCCCGCAGGTCGAAGCCGAATGCGACAGATGCCAGGATGGAGGCACAGCCATAGAGAACAGCATCTGTGCGCCGGCGTGTGGTGGTGCGCTTCAGGCTGTTGGTGGGTGTGTGCTGCGGTGTGGTGCTGGTGGAACTCGTGGATGTTGTTGGGTCTTCCTGGCTCTCACCTCCACCAGCCGGCCCCTGGCTCTCCTCTCCCTGTTCATCTTTCCACAGAGGTAGATCAATATAAACCTGGTTGGGGAACTTCAGTTGCTTTAGTTTGTTGTCAGATCCATCAGCAGAACATACTTCATCTTTATTGGTTCCTGGGAAAACAACATAAAACAAGTTAACAAAATTTGGGTTCTGTAAGATTTTTTGGGAAATTTTATTAGAATGATTTCTGAAGGATCATGTGACACTGAAGACTGGAGTAATGATGCTGAAAATTAAGCTTTGCCATTGAAGGAATAAATTACATTTTAAAATATTGTATATTCAACTTCTTTTAACAGTACTTCACAATATTACTGTTTTAGTATATTTTTGGTAAAAATAAATGCAGCCTCAAGGAGCATAAGAGACTTCACAAAAAAAGTTTTTAAACAGGCTTTAAAAAAAAAGAAAGAAAAAGAGTTAAAAGCACGCAAGCAATTTGGAAAGAAGATTAGATAGAATCTAAAAAGTGCAGATTTATTAATTGTGCATATTTAATAGTTAAATCAATATAGTATTAGTACTAAATGAGTAGTAGTAAATGCCAGAAGATAGAAAATGACTGTGCTCCACCAAAATACAGCAGAACGTTGCACATAAATGGGTGCCATGACACAGTGGCTGTCTGAGAAATCTCCCCCACATCCTTAAACAGGCCACTATTGGGGGACAGCCATTTGTGTCGTCCAAAACCATAGGGGACGTTATTGAGTGCATTCAGTCAAACCCATAATGCACCTCAATAACGAGTGTACAACCGATGTACACTTAACGGCTACAGAATACCTAAAATGCACTGTGTGGGTTGTGCCAAATGAATTCCCGCATCTCGCCTGAAGATGGCACCTGCAACTGAATCATCCATCCATCCATTTTCCAAACCACTGGGCCAATGTGGGTACAGCGTAATATCATACAGGGTGCATCTCGCTCCCTAGCTCCCGACCTTTTGAACCAGTATATCATGTACACAAATCCAGTCACTGGTAGTACCCTGGCTCACTGCACATTGGGACAGTGATTACTCAATTTCCAGCGACATGACTACGTACAATGTCAACAGACATCATTGCTGGAATTAATCAACAACAGGCAGGACCAATTTCTTTTTGATATTGTTTTTATTCTCTTTAAATTCTGTTGTTACATGTCCTTACAACATTTCAGTTAAATATTAATTATAAATGGTAACCAGATGTGTTAACTACCTGTCTAGCGATGTGTTTATGCTGAAATACATTTAAAAAAAAAAAACGGTTTGTCTTTTCAAATCCTCTATTGCGCCCGTCATTTATATTTCCGTGACTGTTCAAGATAAATTTCTTCTACACCTGTAGCCGCCAGTTTTCTAACTTTCAAATGATTATTAAACAGCAAGTACAAATTATGCAAATGCAGCAGCCCTTCCGGTTGAATTCACTCACTCCTTCAACTGGACTAGATTAGTGGACTAATGTAGGGAATAGTGAATGAGGGTATAGGGGCTATTTCGAACAAAGCAACATTAATGTCATTTCTTTGTAACACGAATAAAAGATATAACAGACAGCGATGAAAATTGAGTGCATGGAAAAAATAAATGGAAGATGAGCCTTCTTTACATACCCTGCTCCGCAAATAATGCTGCCAATGGAACAGATTTCTGGGCCTTCATAAGACTAGTGGACCAGGGACTGCTTCCATCTGAAAGAGGTCGAACTCTGAAGACAAAATGACAGTGACACCCACAATTTATAACTCATTAGAACACATCTGAATCATGAGATTTACTGAATCATTAAAAAAGGTAGCATACATTGCACGCTTAAATTACACAACAATTTTTTGTATTAAATTTTATTTTTATAAAAATATGTGTCTTTGTTTCAAAAAAAAAGAAAGAAAAGGAGCACAAAAAAAATAAACACCAGTTCTAACCTTTCAGTACAATTTGCTCCTTCCTTGGTCTGCACAGAGCTTGGTCCCCATGTGCGGCCCTTCTTCTTAAACCCTTTCTTAACATCTTCAAACTCCCCAGGTTTGTAATTGGTGCTTCGACCCCATGTCCTGTTGCTCTCATCCAGGGTCACTAGAGATGAAGATACATAAAATTTGAAACAGAATTGCTAATACTAACAGAAAATGTCTTAACTGACATTCCCAATTTGTCACACCACAGACTGAGATTCAATATATTAGTCCTTCACAGAGGAGTAGCGACAGCTTTTTAGTCAATCATCACTGGTGAACAAGTGTTAGATCATTACAATCATTCTCGAAAATTGTTAATGGAGCTTCAGGAAGGATATTGGGTTGACCTTAAACTATTGAAGTACCAGCTCAAGGTCTACCAAAATATACATTATCCCCAAAGGCAGTCAAAGCAAACTCATTACAAACCATTAAAATTCAAAAGCATCAAGCAAATGTGTTACGACAGTCATTTGTATCCCAAAGTCACCAAAACAAACAGAGATGCTGTGAAGCCAGAGCAGTAGTGATCAGGAATCACACCAACACACAGTTAGATGGGGTGGCTTTGTCTCACAGGACCACAGTGTCCTTGCCTTTCTTCCTAAACCCGCTAGGAGGTTTACACTCGCTTGTGATATCCACATACTGGTGATACACAAACATACTGCCCCTTCGGCTAGTGTCACTTGGGTGGCTCACTGATGGGAAGAAAATAAGTTACAAACATGTAACAAACATAAGATTCAGACTGGCAATGACCTGGATGGATTTTTTCGTCACACCGAGTTGCTCACAAATAAACTGATTAGGGAGACTGTCTTTGGTTTTGTTTTACTGTATTGAAACTGGCAAACATTTAATCAGAGAAGGGATATGGGCCAATCCTGATATTAGTTTACGACAATGATGTTGAATTTCAGTTTCTTTTAGGAAGATAAATGGTCGAACTTCCTGTTAAAATAAAGACTAAAACTTTAAACTTCTATTTGCAAACAGCAATATGTCTGATGGTTTTTTAACCCAAAATCTCAAAAGTATAGGGAAATATCAATCTAGCAGATGCAGCATGAATGTGTAAAAAGAGTGGGCACTTACACTGAATGGCTCTGAGGCGAGGGATCAGTGTAGGGCTGCTGGGGGGGCTGGAGTTGGTGCTGTTGAGGCTTCTTCTCTTGTCCATAGTCGGAGAGGCCTGAACTGTGATTTTATGCTGAAAATCTGTTGAACACAAATAAGGTTATCCCTTAGTAGTATTTAAATCCCTTTAAACATTTCTACGTCAGCCACAATTTACAATAACATTTAAAGGGGTCATAAGATGCGATTTCAAGTTTTCCTTTCTCATTGGAGTGTTACAAGCTGTTCGTGAATAGATAAGATCCCTAAAGTTGCAAAGACTAAAGTCTCAAACCCAAAGAGATATTCTTTTTAAAAGTTAAGACTCGTCCACGCCCTCCTAAAACGCCTCATTTAAACACGCCCCCACATCTACATCACGATGTGGGAAGATTTGCATAACACCGCCCAAATGTTCCACGCAAAGAAAGAAGGCTTAACTTTGATTCTCGCTGTAGTATTGTTGCCGCCGCCGCCATGTCGTGGAGACACTGTGTGTTTCGTTGTGAAAGCGAAAATACTTTGTTTGGCCTTCCAAAAGAGGACACAACTAGAAATCAGTGGTTAAGTTGTATTTACAACACTGTTCCAGAACAGTTCAACCTAAATATTCAGATGTGAGCAATGCATTTTACGTAGGACGAGGACTGTTTCCTGGGATAGTATATGGGATAGTATACAATGCCTGTGTTCTGACAAATAATACTGACTCACAGCCTGTAAGTACACTTTCATATTTAAAGGATTTGCCACTGATGATTCAAATGTGAGTTTTGAGCAGTGTAGAGTAGCGCTTGTTGTTTGTCGTTTCTCAGATCACAAATGGTTTTATGTTTACGCGGCGCGATGCAGCTCGTAAAAAGGCAGTAAAAGTCATTATAATCAGTAATTACTTCCCCACTGGATGCAACAAATACCTAGTTTATAATGGGTTTTAATGTTTTTGTCTCGTCGCACTGGGACACGTCATCACAATATGGTAAGGGGCGTAACATTTCCGTCACACACTTGAGGTATTCGGCCAATCACAACGCACTGGATAGCTGGCCAATCAGAGCACACCTCGCTTTTCAGAACAATGAGCTTTGTAAAAATCGACGCGTTTCATAAAGGCGGGGCATAGAGGAGAAACAATAATGTACAGTGTGTGGAAAATAATGTGTTTTTTGAACCTTAAACCACATAAACACATTTCATTACACCAAATACACAAAATAATGTTCTGTTTTAGCAACGTCATATGACCCCTTTAATTACTCAATTTGCAATAACATCAACTTACTTCACAACTCTAATACTACAAAAATCTGTCAGTCATGATAAACAATTTACTGAGAAACATTAATGTAATATTTATGCTACACTATAAATTCATACAGCTCTAACCTGAGGGTAAGCTGATGCGGTTGCCATCTTTGAGCTTGAGGCGGCTGCGTTTGAACTTGCCCTTTCGTTTTTTAACATTAGGCTTGTCCTTGTTGAGTTGGAATATGATGATGTTGAGCTCACGCTCAAGCACATTAATTTCCCGCTCGGCCAGCTGCTGTTCCCTCCTCTTCAACAGCTCTTCATGAGACTTCTGCTGAAGGGCTGCTCGCGTCAGCTCCTCCTCACGTGAAAGGAGCTCCTGTTGGTGTGAAGAACATTCGTGATCAAGTCAATTTGGTGAACAATATATAAACAGTTCATCCAAACACGACATAATGGTAGGGAATAATAATAGAATTTCATTTTCGATTGACCAATTCCTTGAAATTATGACCAAACAAACTATGGCCAAGTTTTCTGATATACTGAATCACTGCCTAGGGAAGCAAAATTGAACAGTTCTCATGTTTATGAATCTACTGTGTCAACGAGCAAAAAAAAAAAAAAAATACATCAATGGTATGAATGGCAGTTTCACTTCCTTTGGCCTTGGAGGACAGAGCTCAGATTCCTCTCTGCCTTGAACAGCTCATTTCAGATCAGTCTTCTTTTCTTGGGTTTACCCTTGAGCACCACAAACATGACTATAAAGTGAGAACTGTGAGTGAGTTATTCACACAACAGCAGCAGTATTTATGAGCTAGTAAATAAATACTTAAGAACTGCTTGTTCTCTCGTTCTCTACGTTTCACTTTTGCTCTGGCTTACACTTTAAACTTGAATACGGCAATGGAAATCCTGTCTTTTGGTTAAAAAAATCTTTTGAACAGAATAATCCACATGTATAAAACTTGCAGGCAGAATTGTTAAGCATTAATCAAAACAGTTTTCCGGCCACATGGAGTAAAGCCGTTTGGCCTAATCTCTTATGAATAACTTCTGTAAGAAGCTTTGGGGCAGTCTGCCAAGATACACACTTGAATGATTTAGACAATTCATTAATAAATGAACAATTTCTTTATTTACTAGCGAGGAAAAGTTTTGCGCATCACGAAACAAGAAAAATATTTATGTACGAAGACTTTACTTACAGCAGTGGAAAAATGCACTGATCAAGAATGTACATGGAATAAAATGTCAGTTTCTACATGAAGTTTTAGCTGACTTGCAGGAAAGAGCATTCTTGATCAACCAAAGGCAAATCCTTTTCAACATAGCAAGCTGCTACAACTGGAAGCAGCTTATCATATTAACTTTATCAAACGTTTAAGGCCATGTCATTGGAAATAGATGGGTTTAAGAGGATAAGTTCAACCACAGTTACCCTGTTCAAATCTGAACCAAAAAAATAAATAAAAATAGGTCCACTGTCTCATTAAAAAACAGTCTGTGCAGTGTTTGGCACACAAATCAAAACTATAAAGTCAATGTAAAACAAGCTCAGAAATAGACAATCCAACAAAATCTTGATCATCTGACCTTTTCTTTAGTGCGTAGCTCATCAAACATTTCTTGAATCTCCACTCTCCAGTCCTCCTGCATTGAGTGGAAGGAGTCCTGCGGCATGGTGGCCATCACAGCCTCCTCTATGGCAGTCAGCTGCTCCAAGATGGAAGCAAAGGACGGGCGGATGTGGGGATCCTGCTCCCAGCATTCTATGAGCACAAAATATGTTAGAATCCTATAGGTTATCATTTCAATGAACTGTCATTGCTGATTGCAGTGGGAATTGTTCACACTCACTCAAGCCCTGTTCACGCCGCCAGCGACACACAGTAACATGATCCCATTCATTTCAATAGAGAACTGCTGATTTAGGCAATGTAGGCATGTCCAGTGGCATGACCGTTTTCTTTACATAATGTTTATTATTAGAGAAAAAAAAATTATAATTTTTCTCAATCAAATGAAAATTCCTTGGCAGTAGGAGCCAGTTTAAATGGCATTTTAACAGATTGTTCATCTGGATGTTTTAATGAACCAGCACTTCTGTATTCTATGTAACAACAGCAGGATGTTACTTCATTAGCAACAAGAACATGAAAACCTAGTCAAATTAGAATATCTTAGTTTTACCATCAATATAAATCATCTGTGATATGCAGACTACCAATAACTTTAGAGCGAACACCCACAAGCAACTTAAAGCAACAAGCAACTTACAGTACAGAGACAAACTAGTGGTGTGAACAGGGCATCAGTGCTCAAAGATAAAAAAAATGCCATAGCGTGTTAATAACATATAGTGAACCACTGGATAAACAAAGGAGCACCATCAGTGAACTACTAACAGACCTACCCTCCATGAGCTTGGCAAAAGGCTCGGGACAGGTAGATGGAATGGGAAGGGTTAATTTGTTGACAGCCACTCCATAGGCAACTGCCAAACCGTCGATGCCACGGTAAGGAACCTCTCCAGTCAGTAATTCCCAAAGGAGGACTCCATAGCTGCACAGAGAATAGAATGCATTAAGGAAGTGTCAGTGTGGTATGGATTGGTATTAATCACACAAATGGGCTAAATGAACAGTGCTTATGTACAATATTAACGAGACTGGCATCTTTGGTGCACTCAGCACTTTTTCCCTGATAAAAGGTTGTTCACGGAGTGCACCTGTGTTCTTATGTGTGGTCTGTTCCTATTATGAAAGTGCGCAAATTGATCCCAAAGCAAACATTTTATAACTGCTAAATATTTCTAAAATTACTTAAATTCTCTTCTTAACCTCATGATAAGGCAAAGAAAGGGAAATACAATGTTCTAGCAATGTCAGGAAAGAAAGAAGAGAGAAGTGAAACCAATCATGTGTTGGCATACTGTAAGCAATGTCTGACCAAAGTGGCGTGAGAACGTTTGAAAAAGGATGAATCTTCAAATTTAGCTTTCACAAACAAGTTAAAAGGGCAGCTGGATCACCACTAAAATGCTGTACTAGTTCAAACTGACCTAAAGTTTCTGTTAACCTAAAAACAAAATCAACCAATACATACTCTGTATTAGCCGTGTTCCAAAACCTACACGCCTACATGGGGAGTTCCCTTTTAAAGCAGTATTCAAATGGAAACTTATTCTCTCAAGTGACTGATTTGGAACACTTCCAATACAGTTTGGAGCTGGCAAGCTAAAAACACAATTTTCAAATGTATGTAGATTCATCATGGCACACAAACGTTGGGTAAAATACAGTATGTAATTATATTAAAAATTATAAATATATAAAAAATGCTCAAATGATGCATCATAGAAGGATAATTACTCTGCTTGCATTTTTGAAAACCTGGTAGTGCGCCTATGATGCCTGAGTGTTTGTCTAACCTCAAGTAACTAATTCACGATAATAACAGGCTTTGTGCTCAACATTGCAATTAAGTTAAAATAACAGCTTACCTCCAGACATCACTCCCTTTGGAAAACAGAGAGGACTTGATGACCTCAGGAGCCATCCAGGAATAAGTGCCAGCTGCACTCATTTTGGTCGTTTTGTGCCACTCACGGGCCAGGCCAAAGTCAGTAATCTTCAGGGTTTTTCGACCAATGTCATCATTCTCAATTTTTTCAAGTAATAAAACTAAAAAAAAAAAAAAGACAGGATAAATGTTTTATTTATTTGTACTATATTAGTTATACATTAATTGTAAAAGTCAGCAGTGAAAAAATTAACCAAAATAACAGGCAAAAAAAAAGAAGTGATTGGGCTGTTCAGATCAACGACTTTAAGGTATGATGGGAATGTTTTCTACATGCAAGCCTTAGCCTTTGAGCATTTATGTCAATGAACAACAATACAGGAATGCTAAGAGGATGCTCATATTTCCACTCTTTTATCATGAAGTGGAATCTTCAAGGACACAGGCCTACATGAAGAACTCAGAGCGACATACAAGTCGCTCTACTTTACAATACAGTCTCGTACCAAATGACAAACAACATGGGAATGTAGGCCAGCTTGCTTTGAAGCGAGGAATGTCCTGAGGTCAGGAGTAGTATTATTTTTCACCAGTTCTGTCCTTGACATTTATCCAACTTGAGACCTTTATCAACATCAGTATGTAATAAATAGGAAGGCCATCAGTTGATAACTACATGTCTGATTAATCTGACCTTGACTCCCTTTCCATCATGACCCGAGGGGGTAACTAAGTATTTTTATTTGTGGACACATTTCATTAAACACTTTCTAACATTCCCAGCCTTTACTCAGCGTACAGTGGTGAGGACTGGTCTTGACTACACTACTATTGACCTGTTACAATGTAAGACATTTAGTATAACTGTCTCAAATCCAATGAGCGCTGTAGCTGAATAAAACGCAGATAGAGAAATTTTAACTGAGGAAACCTGAAGACAATAAACATGCGATTGCACAAAATATATGGTATTGGTGTTCTTCAAGCAATCTTGGGTATTTATTATAAGGATAAAGCATATTTATAATGCAATGCTAATCGACATAGCCTTTATCACTGTATATAATGCTATAAAATAGTATGATTTCTGCCTTATTCTGTGATACGAAACCACGTCTGATCACAAAAATAAGTTATTTCAAACACTCGACTATGTTATGAAGTTAAAATGGAGAGCATGTCAATAAATTTAAATATCTTTGTTGGACAACAGGTTTGTAAACGACTCATACACATGTAAAACGGTGTCGCACACGTGCTACTGTAGTACATTTACTCAAGGCTCAGACCGATTTTTGTCGCACTGTACAGCCCTATCCAAACCTGTTCCAGATTGTAGAAGGAGCTGCTCAATTTCACGTCCGCCTTCCTTCACGTCACTCCACAGTCGCACACAGAAATGTGTCAACAACTAGACTTTATCGTTATTATCGCGGGATGACGAATTCTTATCGTGTGGAGAATCTTTACCGGTATATCGCAAAATATAAGATATAGCCCATCCATACCGTTCAGTACAGAAATCACAATGTTTATTAATGCAATAAGCAGAGAAAGCCATCCAATCAGAATTTAGAGCTGAAACTATTAGTTTCAAAATTAGGATTTTAGTTCCTTTACAATTTTATTCATTTTCTTTAAACTCATAAACATGCTGGACACCGCAAATAAAAAGAACCACACAGTGTGTTTTAAAAGATAAAAGACCTGCATGTTAGAAAGTCCTCAGGTAAAATTCACAAAACTTTCATTTTGGGACAAACATGAAAATTGGGATTCCATTTCGAACAGGTTTCACCTGTTTGATGCTTTCAGGTTAATCTCAGCTGTTGGTTTCTGTGCACTTTCAGGTTTGCTTTCCATGAAGTAACAACACAACAGTTTAAAATTGAATGGAATAACTCTACACACCCACAACCTATTACACAATCATCAGTATTAATATTTTATGCATTTCAGTAAACCAGTTGGTTGGATATGAATGCTGTCTTATTACTAAAGAAGATCAGCTCTTTTCTGTGAACCTGAAACAAAATATATATATATATATATATATATAAAAATGTAAAACTTCTAGAATAGTACCAGTTCAAAACAATCCTGCTCTACATGTCTTTTCATTGCTCAGATTTCTATAGTGTCTGTTTTATGGGCCAGAAAATCATCTTTAGATCATGAGACAATAACCACTGCCTGTAGTATGTTCGCCACGGTCCCTTTCTATCCCTCCAACAAGGCCATTGTTCTCTACGCTGACAGTCAAAGTGAGAGAGAGAGAGAGAGAGAGAGAGAGAGAGAGAGAGAGAGAGAGAGAGAGAGGACGTGTGTGTATTTTGGAAAGCACACATGCTTGAGATTCCTTAACGTTTCACTTCACGTGCCTGAAATCGCAAAACTGAGTTTTGAAGTGTGGCACAGTGCCGAGTTTCGCAGGGGCTGCTGGCTACAGTTCTGCAATATTCTTTACCCCCAATCAGGGGAAGCTCCCTGTCTTGGAGAGAAAACAGCAGCCATTGAGGAGATTAAAAATAATGAAAATAAGCCTTTCAGGCCCAGAAGTCTGAGCATTCTCGGGTTGGCAGTCACCTAGCAACCAGTGCTTGACCATTCCATTGTGCAAACTTATGTTAAGCTTTTGCCCCCTCGTTAGCAACATTCCTTTGAGTGAGGTATTAAAAGATTAGGGCACAAAAACATCATTTCACTCACTATATTTGCAATATCTTAAAGATAATCATTGATCAGATAAGCAAGAATGGGCACAAAGCAAATCTGATTTCATGTCTTACTTTTTGAGAGACTACTATTTGACTTGTACACTCTACCTTTAACCTGCTAAACAATGTACTGCAACCTGAATGGGCAAAGAGTCCCCCTTAAGAACACAGCAGAAAGGGTCTGGCTCATGATGGGCAGGTGTCTTGACTGCAGAACTGAGCAAACACACGTTATTTTTTTCAATTAATGTCAGCAAGCTTCCAGTGTTGTTTGTCACAATCCTGTGGACAGATGAACAAACTGAGCTGCGTTAACAGTAGCACTGCCATGCTGAACGGGGGCAGGGTGCCACATTGCGCCTATTGTTGATAGTGGAATGCTGTCTATTTTATTGTTCTGGATATACTCCGCTAATTTAACAGAGAGAATGACAGTAATAATAATGACACATTTGCAGACTGAAATCAACTACACTACCATTCAAAAGGTTTTTTTTTTTTGAAAAATTAATACTTCTATTAAGCAAAGATGCATTACTTTTATCAAACGTGACTATAAAGACATACAATGTAAAAAAAAAAAAATGTTTTAACTTTCTATTCACCAAATAATCCTTAAAATTCCTTTAAAACTGTTTTCAACATTAATGATATGAAATGTTTCATGAGCACCAAATCTAAATTATTAGAATGATTTCTGAAGGATCATGTGACACTAAAGGCAGAAGTAATGGCTGCTGAAAAATCAGCTTGGTCCTCACAGGAATAAATTAAATTTGAAAATATATTAAAACAGAAAACAGCTATTTTGAATAATATTTCACAATATTACTTTTTAATTGTATTTTATCAAATAAATGCAGCATTGATAAGCATAAAATACTTTTTGAATGGCCGTGTATAATAGAAACAGCTCGTTCATAAATTCATGAAATAAAGCTGCTGAATAGATTTACATGATCAGGTCAATGATACCAGCTGATTAAATCTGTACAGCATTCAAGACTATTTGAGTTTACAGATTTTTGTGAGTATTAGTCAGACAAGTTACTTAACTTTTAAGCACACCATCTGAAATGCCTCTTTTAGGTATTGGTTAATGTATTGCATCCCTGAGGCAGAAAAGCATTGGGGTCTTTCCCAACTCCATCTATGACTAAGAAACATGATAGGACAATCTCATTGTCATGCAGCATCTCTTGCAGCTATAGTATTGTTTTTTTTTTATTTACATAAAATAAACTCTCTCAATAAACATCTGTAAAACAAGGTAATACATGACAATACTCACCATATTTATATGATTATATATATATGATTTCAACGACTCTATAATATATTTATATTCAGAATTAGTGCTTCTTTATGCAGACATATTTACAGATCTGAGTTTTCAGAACCTGTTTAGGCAATTTCTCAAGGAGGACACCAGCTGTTCAAACTCTAACCTCTTAACTTCACAACCTGCCCAGGGTCACACTCATTCAGAAAAAAATCATTCCTACAGCTTTTTTGAAAAGCTTGAAGATAGCCAGTGGTTTATCACTTGTTGACTGTGCAACTCTAAACTAAGAAACCCTGATAAAGCACATGACTCAAATCCACTGACTTTTTTGTCAGTGAAAATTAGAGTGTGGAGAAAAAAATATGCAACCTTAAATCTCTTGATGACTGTAGGGCCAACATTTACAAAGGTAATTCCACTATCTTAGCAGTTAAGCATTTTGGGCATACTCATATATATATATAAATATACAAATACATTCGGTATACTCATGAAAAGCTATATGTTTTATATGTAGTATGTTTGTTAAACATTTATTAAATAACAATTACATTAACTGACTAAAACAATCAGGCAGTTGAGATTTACGATATAGTATATATATATATATATATCACTTTATGTGAGTGGACAGTATGCATGCAGATATAACTTATATCCTTTATTTTTATAACTATATCCTATATTTAACTTTATATACAGAGCAGTGTGATGATGCGATAATTTTGCTACAATATAAATGAACATTTATTCAGTTAGCAGTTGCTTTTATCTAAAGCTTTAGAAATGAGTAATACAACAAACAATGAATCTTAGGGAGGCAATAACATGAGAAATGGCAGCCAAGTTTTAAACATTGTCTAGAACAGTACAAGCAACAACAGGGAGGGTTCTAATAAATAGTGTAAGCATTGAAGTTTTTTAAATATTTAAAAACTTGCAACTTAGGTTGTACTCTAAGATGAGCGAATGCTGAAGTTGCCAGAAGGACTTGGAAGGGTCCAGTGTCTTTAACATCAACTACAAAGGCACAATTCAATCTCAGAACATCCATCAATTTTATAGCTTTTCTTCTGGGTTTAGATTTCACAAGCTAGTGGCTTCCTTTAAGAATCATATTGCTTTTAGCTAGAAGACAGAGTCCACAGTTCCCTACACTACACACACGTTGCATTAAATATTCCCAAAATATTCCTAGATGACCCATGTTATAAGAATGAGCACGTGGTGTTCTATTCCCCTCCTTTAGGGTCCAAACACAGGTTTATATGGAAAAAAGGTTGATGTTCTAATGATAAACTTTGTAAACGATTACTGATTAACGTGCTAATTGCGAAAGGAAATACCAATGTGACAACCTCCTGTGTGTTTTTACAGTAGAGCAATTCTTGGTCAGGATAAGTAGGCATTAATGAGTGTGTGTGTGGTAATTCTCTTACTGTTGCTGGATTTGAGGTCTCGGTGAATAATGGGAACCACAGCCTCCTCGTGGAGATACTGCATGCCTCTGGCGATCTGGACGGCCCAGTTCACTAGGATATGAGGGGGGATCCTTCTGCCCGTCAAAGCGCGGTTGAGAGTCCCTCCTCGGGCATATTCCATGACCAGACACAGGTTAGGCTCCTCCAAACACACCCCCTCTAGTTTAATAATATTAGGATGTTGAAGCATCGAGAAAAGTTTAGCTTCTTGTTTAACACTGTCTGCAGTCGCTTTAATGTCTTCGTCGGGGTCCTGTCGAGCTGCCTTCACTGCGACCTCCTGGTCCCTCCAGGTCCCCCGGTAGACTTTGCCAAAACCACCGACGCCGATGATTTCTTGTAGAACAAGTTCAGAAAACGGTATCCGGACAGGGGCGGACGGGTCACTCTCGCGATCCCCTACCGCTCTGTAAATGACTGGTTGGTAAGTAACATAATTAGATGGGAAGATGCCCACGCGATGGTTAATTTTACCAGTCCACCAGCCTTCGTCTCCCGAGATGGCAGCGTCCTTAGACAGGACCTCCACCACGTCTCCTCGCCGCAGGCTGAGCTCGTCCTCCCCGCTGGCCTCGTAGTCAAACACCGCGGTCCAGAGCGAGCGGGGACACACGGGGGCAGAGTGAGCCCAAACCCCCGAGTTGGAGGACTCCGTCCAGACATGGTCTTGGAGGCTCATGCGCCCCTCACCGTTTGGGAAAACGGCCTGGGGAACATCCATGTCTCGGTGCCTGCAGGAGCACCATAGGGTGCCGTGATGTCAAATCTAAGTAAACTAGTCCAGTAGCCGTATTCCTCAATGACACGTACACACACAAAAGTTCCTAGAACCCCAGCCAGGTGACTTTATATCATTAATGGAGAGTCGGTCAGGTTAAATCCGGCTTAATAGATGTTAAGAGACGCATTGCTTTGTTTCCACGCAAGCCAGATAACCAGTCTGGGAGTGCGAAGTGTCTCTGAAGCTGGGACATCAGCGTTAGCCGGAATATTTGCGACGCTAACTCTTTCGTTTACTTTTGAGAGCAAAAGCTACATTATCAGTCTGTCGATTTCAGCGCAACCAGAAGTACAAACTAATTTAATAATTGTAAAAATGAAGGTAAACAACATACCCAACCGGGAAAGTCGAGTTTTCAAGCCGTGAAGGCTACAGGTGCAAAGTACCTGCTCATCCCAAGCGAATGAATCAAGCTAAATATACACACGATTTATTTCACTCCCTAAGATAAGTTACTAATTACCTTGCGTGTCTACATGTACAAATCCTCCACATAGACACTCTCTGGCAAACTTAGTTGAAACACTTTACACTAGCGGGCTAAAGAGCCGTGCTAACGCGTTAGCTCTCTCTCCGAAGTTCACAAACTAGTAACTAACTGCGGCTCCCAAAATTCTGCCGTCGCCAAGGACACGTCACGGGCGCGCACGCACGCACAGCAGTAAACGCCTCGCGGAGTCAGTCCAGTGCGCACTTTAGTCATTCACCAGCACTCCAAAAATTGACGGCTTTTCCCCTCTCGCTTAGATTCAAAGACTTTTTCAGAGAAGCTAAACTTTGCCTTGGTGAACACCATGAGAGAACCGCCATCGCTTCTCCGCTTCTCCGCTCCTCCGACTCGACTGACGCTAGAGCAGAGAAGGAAAAGGTGGAAATGGATTGGTTGCAGGAGTTCACGTGACACTCAAACAGAACTGGGAACTGGGAACTTTTCTTTTTTAATCTGCGGTGTTATACTAGTGCTTCAGATTTATAGGCTAATGGGTAAATCAGCCTGCTTTACCCCACACTTTATAACATACAGTTTATAATAGATTAATATAAAGATATGCGCCTGATTGGCCTTGTTAAACAATTCTGTATTGTTTATAGGCCTACACCTGTAATGTTACACTTAAATAAATATAAACAAACATATATAAAATTCCCAAAAGCACATTGCAAATGCCTAATCTCATTATGATTAATATATTCCGTGTAATTTTTGTTACCTATACCAAAATGTAAAAATGCAGTAGGCCTATTATCAATAACTAATAATGCTTATTTTAGATGTGTCAGAAATATTTTCGAGAAATTGACAATTTATACATTTATATAATTTTCCCATTATATTTGTCTGCTACTAATGAAGGTTGTTTATTTTAAGTCTGGCCTTTATAATATCATGTATATCTGTATTAATTTATTTACACTTTCTGGCATCTATCTAGAGCACATCATTATAAAAGTATCATCACAATGGATCATCTTATTCACATTTCCTTGCATAATTGTGTATAGCATATCTGTACATATTGTCTAATGTCTATTTTGACAGTTGTGTATTTTTATATATATTTATTTCCTATTCACTTAATTTCTATTCACTTTTATTTTTATTCACTTAATTCTGACAAAGCTGTTGTTACTGTGTAAAACAAAACGTGGTGGTGAGGTAAGTTAAAGCATGGACATTTTAAATTTTGTGCACAAATTTATTGTGGTAATCTAGTAATCAGTATTTTAAATGTACATAAAATTTTGGCGTGTGTGTCAAAATGAACTAATGAACTGACAAACAACTTTCTTTACATTAATGGTCGCCGTTTTTCTCCAATGCATTAATTTACACTCTGTCTGCTCTGCTCACAGTTAATAGCCAATCAGTGCAATAATAAAAGTGCTGTAGACTAGCGTATTTCATAAAGCATTCCGCTCCCTCCTCTGCCTCATTGGAGAAAAATCATGTTCAGCGTGAGGCGTGTGACGCTGTAGGCAATTCAAGCGATAGTAGATGTAATAGAGGAGGGATGGCCTTCTTTAAAGGGGTCATATGATGCGATTTCAAGTTTTCCTTTCTCTTTGAAGTGTTACAAGCTCTTGGTGCATAAAGAAGATCTGTAAAGTTGCAAAGACTAAAGTCTCAAATCCAAAGAGATCTTATAAAAGTTAAGAGTCAACCACACCTACCTAAAACGACTCGTTCTAACACGCCCCCACATATCTACGTCACGATGTGGGAAGATTTGCATAACGCCGCCCAAATGTTCACGCAAAGAAAGAAGGTGTAACTTTTATTCTCGCTGTAGTATTGTTGCCGCTGCCGCCATGTTGTGGAGATGCTGTGTGTTTCATTGTGAAAGCGAAACTACTTTGTTTGGTCTTCCAAAAGAGGATGATATCTGCTTCGTCATGCCTGGAGCTGATCCGTGCTGGTCGCTGAGAAAATACATCAACTTCGCGCTGTGGATCGCCGCATCGGCTTTCACCGTGGATTAAGTGGAGTCCAGCCTGGGGTCGTCACGTGTGGTTGCCACAAGCCTGCCGGCCGTGCAGTTCTCAAGCCCACTGGCCTCCGCTCACTCAGCCCGCCAGGTTGTTCCTCACTCCGCCGGCCTCAGCTCATTCTAGGCCGCCGTGTGTGACGTTGTGTTTTGTTGTGAAAGCAAAACTACTTTGTTTGGCCTTCCAAAAGAGGACACAACTAGAAATCAGTG